ACTTTACAGAACAAGAATGATTTTTATCGTATAACTTGTCACCTGCAGCCTGCAAAGCCTAAAAAATGGTTTGTTTTGTTACAAATGGCAAAAACTTTGTTTACAGAACAAGAATTCGATTTTATCGTATTTAAAGTATAACTTGTCACCCGCAGACTACAAATTTGTAAAACAGCTTATTTTGATATAGCAAGAACTTTTAGTACAAAACAAAAAATGGCAAGAACTTTCTTTACAAATCAATAAATGGCAATAACTTTCTTTACAAAGCAAAAAACGGCAAAAGCTTTCTTTACAAACCCAAAAATGGCAAGAACTTTTTTCCAACTACTTGTTTTCACCCCCTCCCTTCCCAAACGCAACATTTGTCAATAGTAATTATTTTCCCCGTACATAATAAATAATTTTTTACTCAGTAAGAATAATATAATAGTAATGACAAACCTCGTCTTCCTCACTCTATTTTTGGCACTTTGGCTATTAATAAGAGTCTAAACTTAGCTCCAACGTAATTTGGAGCTATGTCGTGGGGATGGCTTGAGCTATGATAATCCGAGTACTCGAGACGCCAATTATCTGATAAGCACGTTGGCAACATGCTATGTTATCATGAGCTATAGTATAATACTGGCACAAATATAAAGTTTAATATGGGTGTAAGTGGATTTACTACGTGCAGTATCATAAGTGTAATCTACAGTAAAAAAGTTAAAAATAGTTTTTAAAAAATATTTTTGTTTTGTAAAGAAAGTTATTGCCATTTTTTATTTTGTAAAGAAAGTTCTTGCCATTTTTTGTTTTGTAAAGAAAGTTATTGCCATTTTTATCAAAACCAGCTGTTTTAAGTTTTTGCGGGCTGCGGGTGTCAAGTTATACGATAAAAAGCATATCTTGTTTTGTAAAGAAAGACATAAACATTTTTATATGTGAAAGGCGTTAGGCAAGCTGCCGATGACATGTTATACGCTGCTCTTGAAAATGCAAGATTTTTCATTTTGTAAAGAAAATTCTTGCCATTTTTTGTGTTGTAAAGAAAGTTCTTGCCATTTATTTTCCTAACACAGCATATTTCTCGGCCCGGAGCCTGCTGGGAACAAGTCATACGATCGGTATTAGGCATATGTCTTTTTGTGTTTTGTAAACAAAGCTCTTGCCAGTTTTTGCTTTGTAAAGAAAGTTCTCGCCATTTTTTGATCTGTAAAGAAAGTTCCTGCAATTAGTTGTTTTGTAAAGAAAGTTCTCGCCCTTTTTGCTAAACAAGTGCATTTTTATATTTTTATCCACTACTTTTACGTTCACATGCCCTCCGGATATTCCGACAAAATCTGTCAAAAACAGTGTTGCAACTGTCAATATTACACTTTCGAGTGTATGCGAACTCTAAAGCACTTGACGAAATTGGTTTTTGGAACGTTCAGGACATTGTAATAAGACATGTTTATTAAAGTTAGAGAGTAGTTTAGACAAATCTGTAAAGAAATTTTTTGCCGTTTTTTTTGTTTTGTAAAGAATGCTCTTGCAAAAAAAAATACCTATTTTACGGTTTTGCAGACTGCGAAAGACATCTTATACGATGAATCTCACTTTTAATATGATAAACAAAGTTTTTGCCCTTTTGTGCCATTTTAAATCTACTGACTTCCAAATGCTTCTCAAAAGGTCTGGCGGTCACAGATTAAGGAAGTCTTAATTCAATTTTACAGAGTAAAATGTTATTTTAGCTCTGAATACCTAGTAACATCAACAGACAGTCCTACTGTAGATGTACGTATCTTCGGCCCTTCGAAGCCATTAAACTTATGATATATGTTGAAATTCCAAACTTTGAAAATATTTTTATTGCCATTTTTATGTGAAAAATGTAATGGCAGTTACTTTGTTTCCACATCACTACGCTTGTTTACAGTACAAAGGTTTTAAGAGTACGGGTATTTTTAGGGTTGTGGGAAGTTCAGAATTTAAAATGTGAAAAAGTTTTTTATTACAAAAAATAGAAAAAACTTTGTTTACAAATCTAAAAATGTCATGAACTTTCTTTACAAAACAAAAAAAAGCAAGAACTTTTTTTAAACTGAAAAAAAAGCAAAAACTTTCTTTACAAGCAAAAAATAGAAAAAACATTGTTTACAAGGCCAAAAATGGCAAACAATTTCAGTACTAAACAAGAAAGCAGTTTCTTCGTATAACATGTCACTCACAGCCTGCAAAGTTTTAAACTAGCTTATTTTGATACCAATGGCAAAAACTTTCTTTACAAAACAAAAAATGGCAAGAACTTTTTTTTACAAAGAAAAAAAATAGCAAGAACTTTCTCTACGAAACTTAAAATGATGAGGCCTTTCTTCACAATACGAGACATGGCAAGAACTTTTTTTACATATTAAAAAAAAATCAAAATTACCGTATAACATGTCCCTGCAGGCTGCAGAAACTAAAAATTTGCTTTTTTTGACTTCAAAATTGTTATAACTTTCTACATATGACATTTTTTATTAGCACATTTAAAAATACTTAGCATTTTAGGTAATAAAAACTTTGTTTTAGAGTTTTTTATAAACTTTGATGTTCAAAATGGCACTATTTTTGAAAGTTTGTTTTCTGAAACTCTTCAATAACCACATTTCCAGCTCGTTCTTTACGTTTTTCGCGCAATAACTTTGTTTCCACAATCATTTCTAGGTATTTTCAATGTTTTCTCGGTATTTTTGACTATTCCCGAAACGGCAATAATTTAATTTCCGGTCAAGAAAGGGGAAATTCGGTCGAAAACAAGGTTCCGGTCACAATTGCCCTTCTATTGTTCTGAACAATAAAGAATGGCGCTATTCGCGTACGTACTATGAATTTTACATGTTTTGTGATTTTAAATGCTCATCTTGTCATACTGAGTACATTTCATTACCTAAAAATTTTTTTTTACTTTTTGATTTTTCGAGCTGCGCCCTTGTTCAATTTTTAATTTTTGAATTTTTTAGATATTTGGTGTTTGATACTATTTAGTATTGCACTCTTTACATTGTTTGACCAAAAAATGCTGTTTCATTTCGTTTTGTTACCTAAAAAAGCTTTTTTGATTTTTTGAGCTGCGCCCTTGAGTTCAAATTTTAATTTTTGAATTTTTTAGATATTTGGTGTTTGGTACTATTTAGTATTGCACTCTTCACATTGTTTGACCAAAAAATGCTTTTTCATTTCGTTTTGTTACCTAAAAAAGCTTTTTTGATTTTTTGAGCTGCGCCCTAGAGTTCAAATTTTACTTTTTAAAAATTTTAAAATTTTAGGCCTTTCTGTGCTTAATGGTACCATACTCACCAAGATGCACCACTTTCTCTGACCTATTTTCATTTTTTTTCATTTCAACTACATTTCCAAACTCCCGCGACCTGCGCCCTCAACTCCGCCCCCTAATTCTGCCGTAGGGACGGTATAGGGCATTGTTTAGTCACAGCTTCGACTTGCGTGGGTCCCGGATTTATTTGGCCACAAAAAACTCAAAGGGGCGTGGCTTTTGGTCGGAGACAACCGGCTGGTTCGAATAAAACCTTTTGTCTCGAGCCGCCGGCTCTGATTCCGCTAGCTAATAATAAGAGTGGTTGGTGGTTTGTTTTTGAATTTTATTAAAAAATAATTTGTTGTGGGCGGATTATTTTTATAAATGGGGGTGGTAAAGGTTGAGTTTGTTCGGTTTGGGGGTAGAAAAGACTGATTTTTGTTCTGAAAGGGCGGTTTTTTGAGTCAATTTTAATAATTTTAAAAAAGATATTTGTTTGTAGTTACACTACCTTTAATTCTGAAGGTAGAAAAGTTAATTTTATTGTATTTCGAGGGTAGATAACTAAATTTTTTGAGCAAAAATCAACATTTTTGCCCAATTTTTGCCATTTTTTTGCTATTTTTTAGTTATAACTACTAGATGACATTATTTTTTGATGCCAAAACATTTTACAAACATTGCATAATACATAATTGCAAATTGCGAACACGTATTTTACCAATTTTTTACCTAAAGCATGAGTTATGCTCAAAAGTTTCCAAGCGGAATCGAACCCGCGGCTAATAATCAAGCGCACCGTTGCTTAACTTGCCAGATCGGACAAAGTTTATAATATAAAAGTTGGAAATTGCAATAACCTTGTTTACAGATTTCAAAACAAAAATTTTATTAAAATTCACAATTTTAAAAAAAAATTGCAGCAACTTTCTTTACAAATCGAAAACAGTCTTTTTTAACGTACAACTTGTCACCCGCGACCTGCAAAGATGTAAAATAATTTGTTTTGATACGAATGGCAAGAACTTTCCTTACAGATTTTAAAATAGCAAGAACTTTCTTTACAAAGCATAAAATGGCAAGAACTATTTTTACAAAACAAAAAATGTTAAGAACTTTCTCTACAGACTTTAAAATGGCAAGGACTTTCTCTACAAATCCTAAAATACGGAGTTTTCTTTATAAAAAGTCTAATTTGATGACATTTGCTTTGAGACTACTTTATGTTTTTGTAATTTTAAGCCATTTTTAAACTATCATGCAAACATTATTTTAGTTTTAAAATACGTCCACTATCCGTGTTTACATTTCGTGCTTATTAATTGTACTTTAGCTATGGTAATATTAGGGTTTTTTGGTTTTAAGGGGTGTTTTTAGAAAAAAGGGATTTTTTGAGGAAAAATGAAGAGTTTTTGACGTTTAATTTAATATAAAGCCCTTTTTTAATTATTTTTAAATTAGAACTTACTGTAACTTATTATTTCTGTAACTGAGCGCTGCGTATTTTACATTTTTCATGCCTTTAATACAATTAAAAATGGCATTTTTTTCATTTTCCCTCAAAAACCCACATTTTGCCTCAAATTTTCCCTCATTTTCTGCCATTTTTAATCGATTACAGCCGTGTTTTGCCGTTTTACCCCGGCCAAGATATGCCCTATGTTAAGAAATGTCATTTTCAACCTTTCCTTTTCAGTTTACAAACTTTGGTCGTACAGTTGGAGAGAAAATGAGCGCTTTGGAAAGGATCGTGTTGGCCGTTCTGGCCCTAGTAGTGGTGGCGCAGGCCGCGCCCGCCGCTTCCCCATTCCAACCCGGACTGAAATTGGGTGACAAATACGATTTTACACGGTAAGAGGGGGTGGATTTTTGAAAATTTTATATTTAAAAAAAAAATTTTTTTATTTTGGGGGTGAAATATGTGAATAATTTTTTAATGGGGAGGGGGGTGGATTTAAAAAAAATTTTATTTGGGGTGGATTTTTAGAAATTTTTGAAAATTTAAAATTTTTAAAATTTTTTGTTACCCCCCAAAGTACGTTTTCTAAAATATTCTGGACCAATGTCATGTGTCATATCATGTTTCTGCAATATTAATTTATTCTGGTTTCGTGTTCATATTCGACCGGGCGATTAATTAATTTTTTTTTTGTAAAAGTTGTAATTAATGAGGTTCGGTTTTGACATCATATTATAATATAGTGATATTGTGTTAGTATATGACATAGTATTGGTACTATATTGGTATCAAAGGGCAATGACTTTCTTTACAAAACATAAAATGGCAAGAACTTTCTTTACAAAACAAAAAATGATTTTTATCGTATATATTGTCACCCGCAGCCTGCAAACCTATAAAATAGCTTCTTTTGACACAAATGGCAAAAACTTTCTTTCCAAAACAAAAATTGGTAAGAACTTTCTTTACAACTCAAAAAATGGCAAGAACTTTCTTTACAAAACAAAAACTGGCAAGAACTTTCTTCCAAAAGCAATATATGGCAAAAACTTCCTTTACAAAACAAAAAATGGCAAGAAATTTCTTTACAAACCCGTTACTTCACTTCAAATTTCAAAATACCACATTTTTCCGAAATTATGCCAAAACTTAAGAGTTCAGAACTCAAATATCGCCCAAAATACGCTTCCTCATTAAACCCAGTAGTAATATGCCCTTATACACAGTATTAACCTCTTCCAGTAAAAATACTGCGTATGGCTTCATAAACAGTGGTGATATGTTTACCGAGTAATTTTTAACTTTACAACAAACACTCGGTTCCTGGTATTACACAAAGCCAATTAGGGAATCCTGGACTGTGTCTAATTTATGCTTAGCTTCTGCGGATTCTGATTTCATCTGGTTAGCGTAATAGTAATTTTTGAAGGCTTGAGCTGGGATGTTAGCGCTTTTAAGAAAGAGGGGGGGTAGACATGGGTAACGGCAGGGCCGTGTCTGAAAAGTGGGCCCGGTTCGGCCTTTTTTCTATAAATTTTACTGTCTTTACCTACTCTAATACAATTTTTTTTGACTTTTTGAAAGTGGTACACTTGGTACACCTGAATGGTACTATTGGTAAAAAATTTAAAATTTTTTAAATTAAGCTGTTTTACGCCCAAAAGACCAAAAAAAAGACATTTTTCCAAAGTGGTACTACTGGTACCCCAAATGGTACTACTGGTACCAAAATAAAAAAATTTTTAAAATCAAGTAATTTTTTGTTTAAAAACATAAAAAAAGACGTTTTTTTTCAAAGTGGTACTATTGGTACTCTTTCATAGTACCACTGGTACCATTTTTCTAAAAAGTCATTTTTGCCCAATCTGATGTCGGTAATGTTGTTTTCTCAGTAATTCAAGTGCAAAATCAGTTAAGTCTCAATACTATTTGAAAAACTGTTGGGTTCATACCCTTCTGCCCTACCCTATGGCCTACCCTTCCCCCTATGGCCTATCCTTCTTCCTATGGCCTGCCCTTCTCCTTATGGCCTACCCTTCCCCTTATGGCCTATCCTTCTTCCTATGGCCTGCCCTTCTCCTTATGGCCTACCCTTCCCCCTATGGCCTATCCTTCTTCCTATGGCCTGCCCTTCTCCTTATGGCCTACCCTTCCCCCTATGGCCTATCCTTCTTCCTATGGCCTGCCCTTCTCCTTATGGCCTACCCTTCTGCCTATGGCCTGCCCTTCTGCCCTTTGGCCTACCCTTCTCACTATGGCCTGCCATTCTGCCCTATGGCCTACTCTTCTGCCTATGGCCTATCCTTCTCACTATGGCCTGCTCTTCTGTCCTAAGCCCTTTTCTTCTCCCTATGGTCTATCCTTCTGCCTATGGCCTACTCTTCTGCCTATGGCTATTTGGCTTCGAGATTAGATAAGCCCAAATTGACCTTGAAACAAATCACTCAAGCGGCTAAATTAGGCGCGCAAAATAAAAATAAGCAAAACAAGTTGAGCAGATTTAATGAAAATAAACAGAGGAAGAATTTACTTTACAATTTTTAAACATTCTTTAGAAGAAACTTTGTTTACAGACGCTAAAAAGGGCTTTAAAAGCCGGAATTTGGGCAAAAATTGATAAAAATGAACAATTTTTGAAAAATTTAAAAAAAAAGAAAAAAAATGACACTTCTTATCTCATAACTTCTGTCAGTTTAAAATTAAAAATAATTTTTTATTGTCTACGAATTCAGAAGGCTTTTCTCAACATTTTGAGCTAAATTTGACTTCTTTTGGACCCGTCTACCCCTCCCCACGCTTCGTTTTCCCACCACCTCCAAAGCTCATTTTATATTATTCATGTCTCAAAAGAGCAAAAATTAACCCGAAAAAGTTGAAAAATGGGTCAATTTGTTGTTGTGTGAGTTCAAAAAATTTAAAATTAAAAAAAAAATTTTTTGAAAATTAAAAAATTTTTTTTTTGGAATTTTGAAATTTAGGAGTAGGGCTCTGGCCTCAGGCTAAAAATTGTAAAAATGCCCTAAAACAAACCTATAATCCCAAAAAACACCCAACAAACCAATGACAAAACCTATATTACCCATTTCCAATTCCAGATACTACTTTAACCAACAAAAGAAGGACCAAGTGGAGCCATTCAACGCAGCCAACTGGGCTTTGCCTCGGCAGCTGGCGCCAAAATTCAAGCGATTCGATGCCTATCTGCCAAATGACAAGCGACTAGATGGTGAGTCGATCGACCAGTTCTACATGCAACTGGGCCGTCTTCGACCGGGCAGACTGGAATGGAACTTCAACCGGCTTTAAACTACCGTAAATTCGGTCGATTTTTAAAAAAATGGAAATTTTGGTCGATTTTTAAAAAATCTAAGCTTCGACCGATTTTGAGTTGGAAAAGTTACAGTAACCTTTTGTATGGTTTTACAATCTTAAGATCTACAGTACTTACTGATGATTCAATTATAGTACTATATAGTACCTACTAAGACCTTAATGTGTCTACCAAGAGTTCTATCATAGTACCGTACTGTACTTACTAAAGCCTCTACTACAGTATCGTGCTATACCTACTAAAAGTAGTACCGTACCTATCAAAAGCCCTACAACCCTCCAGTATCAATCAACCCAAGGGTAGTACTGCACTACAATTTCTGCCCAGGTTACTGTAAATTTCTCATCCCCTATCATACGTCGTCATCCACCGTGTTCCTCTAGCCAACCTAGTGTGTAATATATGTCCACTACGATCACTTATGCCTATCAATTTTGTTTTAAACATACAAAGCCTACTGTAACATCGTTAATTGTATTCTAAAACTGTTTCTAAAGTATTCTTCAATTGTCTTTGATTCTGCTTTTCAACTGTACGTGTTATAGCTGTCATAAGTACTATATGCTGCTGTATTATATTACTTGTGTACGAGCGAATGTAGCATTAATTCTAAATAACGACAGTATTACCACGGTACGTACTATATCAAATCCAGCATTACCACAGTATGTGCTAATCTCAAAAACAGTAACACCAAACCCCATACCATAGTATGCTGTCAACCCTACTGTGTAAAGCCACAAAATGTCATAAACATCATGGCTTTACGTTTTCGCAAGTTTTTACACCAACATACGCAAATGTCAACAACATGCACAAACAAACGTACAACGAAGTATCTTTACATCTTTAGTGTATATATACACCAACTACAAAGTAACATACATCATTACTGTACATCCACAACAAACGCACTACAAAATAACATACATCATTACTGTATATCTCTTGGCATTACTGTTACACAGCTACGTACATTTTACATTTTGTGGCTTTACTACGTACATTGAAGAACAGAATCATCTTTTTTCTTATTTCTTTGTGTAATAACGGTTATAACAAGTGTAATATCAAGTGCGAGAAAGAGTTGTTCATTTAACTCTGAGCCACCTAACGCCAACACTTTGAGAAGTAGCTCAAAATTTTTTTAACAAGCCGTTTCTTATCTTGGATATTACACTTGATATAACTTTTTGTTGCTTAACTGTACCAAGGGTACCATTGATGATACTGAACCTATTAATAATTGTTTTCCATGGTCTGAGATCACTTTATCTTATAGTAAAACTTCATTTTAGTACTCTGGTAAGTATATACGTCTATTTTAATGTAAAATACGTTTCGCTTTATTTACGCTTTGTAAAAATATTTTCTTGTAGGTACCATATGATCCATCATAATATTGTTTAGTGTGTTTTATTTTTTATTTTAGTCTTATTTTGTACTTTTAAAATCAAGGTTACTGTAGTTAACCCAACGGTGTTTAATATTATTATTAGTTCGTACTATTTACTAATACTTTTTATTGTCTACTGCATACAGTAAGTTATATGTGTATTTCTACTCCTAGTGTAACAACCCCTACCCTACCCAACATAACACCACTATACCCCCACTCCATCCTACTCTACCCTACAATATAATGACACATACCCTTCCCTTTCTCTAACAACTCTCTTCGAAGCCAACAGTCTCTCTCTCTTCCTTCTGTATCCCCCCAAAGCCTAAGACTCCTCAACTCAGCCTCCACAAACCTAACTTATTGTAAATTGTAAACTTGTTTTTGATTGTTTTAATAAAGAAAATCTAGTTGATTCTGAGGACGTCTTTATGGTTCGTATGTTACAAAACATTATACACACATTACATACAAATAAACCTTGAAACTTGTGAAAATTTGAGGGGAAGTTCGATTAGAAAGTGAAAAATTTTAAATTTTTAAAAAATTCAAAAAAATTCAAAAAATTTTAAAAAATATTTTAAAAAATTTTAAAAAATTTTAAAAAAAATTTAAAAAATTCAAAAAATTTTAGAAAATTCAAAAAATTTGAAAATTAAAAAAAAAATTTTTAAAAAAATTAAAAAATGGCATAAAAATTCACAAAAATTTTTAAAAATGTTAAAAAAAGCTAAACATTTTCAAAAATTAAAATCAAAACCCACCTGCAACATGCTTCTTAGCCGTTCCTCTAAATGGATTCGTACTCAATCGAATAACAGGCTTCGGCAACACTCCACTGTTCGTTAGATTAACCTTGGACAAATCATAAACCCAGTCAGCTATCACTATCGGACAGTCCTATAAGATTAGTTCAAAATTAGGGTTGGAGAAGGTTACAGTAAAGTTAGGCAGACCAAAGACAGAACCGAGGTAGGCAGTTTTGTTTATAGAAAATCGGCCCATCCCGAGCAATTTTAGGAAGGTTAAGGTAGCTAAATTCAAGGTTAAAGCTAGAGCCAAGTCTAAGGCTAACAATTTGTAAGGTTAAAGCTAAAAAAAAACTTAAGCGGTTGGTACAAAGCGCACAGCTAAAGATAGGGGTATGCCTAGAACTACAGGTAAGGCTCGAACCTAGGCCTAGAGCGAACTAAGTGTAGAGCTATAGCTAAAGCTAGGACTAAAGCTAGAGCTAAAGTTAACGCTAAGGCTAAGGCTAAGGCTAAGACTAAGGCTAAGGCTAAGGCTAAGGCTAAGGCTAAGGCTAAGGCTAAGGCTAAGGCTAAGGCTAAGGCTAAGGCTAAGGCTAAGACTAAGGCTAAGGCTAAGACTAAGGCTAAGGCTAAGGCTAAGGCCAACCCTAAGACTTAGGCTAAGCATTGATCTAACTTTTCCCAATTATATAATATAAAGCGCCCAAGTATAAACCTTACCTGAGTATCATACGGAAAGTTTGAAAAGTCAAATGAACAAGTGACATGAAAAGTGAACGCTCCAATAGCGCTCACTTTGCCATTCGAAGTTACAGTAGCCGGCTGTCCGTTCATGTACAGATACCAACTATTGGTTTTGGCCGAATTGTACAAGGCAAAAGCCGGCTGCCAGATCTTCCACGGTTGAATACTGATCATATCAACATTGGACCACTTCTTGGGGTCCCAAGTTAAGTATTCGTCTTTCCACTGCGCCCACAACATTCCATGAACTATCATTGTTTGTTCGTCTTGATTCTAAAGCGAAGTTAGTTGTAAAATATGCTATTTTTGATGAAAATAGCAAGAACTTTCTTTACAAGGCATAAAATGGCAAAAACTTTCTTTACAAAACAAAAAATAGCAAAAAATTTGTTTTCAGCCCGCTGGTCCTACAAAAATTTAAAAAAACTCACGACTTCTTCAATGTGATTAATCACAATGAACGCTTTGACAGTCGTAGATGTGGATTCCTTTTTGACTGGTCGGTGACGTCTCTCATATTTGGCTAACAACGTCTTTTCTAATTGCCGATTAGTTGTTGGACGGCCACAGTAACATATGTTGACGTAGGTTAGGATCAAAAGGAGTATAGGTAAAATAAGTTCCATTGCTTAAAATTTTTTTGTGGTAAGAAAAATGGCAAAAACTTTCTTTACAAAACAAAAAATGGCAAAAACTTTCTTTACAAAACAAAAAATGGCAAGAACTTTCTTTACAAACATAAAATGGCAAGAACTTTCTTTACAAACATAAAATGGCGAAAACTTTCTTTACAAATAAGAAAATAGCAAAAACTTTCTTTACAAAGCCTAAAATGACACGAACTACCTAAAATACGGTCAAAAGCAAAAGAATACGTTTTTTAAAATCAAGTTTTCAAAACCCCAAAACCATTGCTTTCCAAAAATTTTTATTAAAAACACAAAAAATGCATTTATATAAACAAATCGATCGACTGGTTTTGCTGTGTGAAACGTTTACTGATCCGATTGCACACCATAAACAAATCCAACCATTGGCCGATATTCGAAAGAAATTGATAGACAAAAATGGCAAAGACTTTAACCACGGAGCTCTACTATTTAATGCATTACTTTGATACCGTCGGCCGTCGAATTGTTTGTTCTGACAGACATTATGGTTCCACAACGTGGACAGCATGGTAAACAGTTTAAACGTATCCGCAAAAAAAAATCGAAATTACCCAAAAAAAGTAAAAATCAAAAAAACAAAGCAAAATATTCAAAAGTTTGAACAAAATGTACTCCCAAAACAATTAAAATTTTAAAATCCCCATGCCCCTGGTCCATATGGGTCATGGAAGTTGCGCGCGTTTTTGAGAAAAAAAATAAAAAAATTTTTAAGAAAATAAAGATTAAAATGAATTCAAATAACATATTCAGTAAGAAAATAAACATAAACTTAAAAGTTTATAACACTTTTACCATATTTTTTATCTTATCAACTAATTTTTATATTGTAGTAGGCAAAACTCAAAATTCATCGTCAATTACACACATCGAAACACAGGTGTATTGCCTAAACTTAACAATGTAAGCAAGAATGTGTTTTGAAATGTAGCAAAATATTTATTTTTTGAAACATAGTTAAGCACCAGCTTCAGTCGTGCTGCAGTAGAGGTAATGAAAGAGTCAGGTCGAGAGACACCTTGAGCTTCAATGTTCATTTCGAAGAATAGGACAATCAAAGTGAATGTTGAAAAACCTTGCTTTCGCTTTCGGTGGTCAACCATTTCTCCCAGTCGATTGCTGCCAAGTTCAATAGGTTTGATCGCATAATATTGTCGAGTACGTTGTTCAAGTATTCGTAGTCCGGCTCTTCGTAGTATCGTACGCTGTCAATGTAAGCGATGATTTCTCGGTATTGAATTGGACAGCCCATCTGAAGACTGCCATCGAGCCTCGACTTTTCTTTGATTCGACCAATTTCGTTCTTGTCTTCGACCGCCTTCCAGGGCACTGCTCCGACTGTGAATTCGACCTGAAAAGAGGTGGTGATCTTACTATGGGTTAGCGGTAGGGATTGGGGTGGAGGTAGGAAATGTAGTGTAGGATATGGGCAAAAAACAGTAAGCAATTAACCCACCAACATATAAAACCAGCTCTCCAAATCGTCCTTCCTACACTGTTCTCTCGAAACATGGCAAGATAACGCGGCATACCGTACGGTTCCTCTGAAGCCAGTAGCCCATCGTGGTCTTCTGATATCTCCAGAACCATTCAAATACTTTCTGGCCATTCCAAAGTCCAATAGTAATATATGACGTGTGTTATTGACTCCGACTGCGTAATTACCAGGCTTTATGTCACGATGAAGATAGCCTACTGAGTGTAGTTCTTCTATTGCTTCTAGACACTGAACTGCACAGAAAACGCATGTGCTCAAGGAGAAGACTCGCTCGGATATGTCTTTTGGGTGCTTCAGAAGGTCCTAAAGATAAGGTGAAGTAGGGTAGAGTAAAATATGATAAGGTGTGGTGAAGGGCAAGTTAAAGTAGGATAAGGGAGGGTAGAGCAGGGTAAGGTAGGGTAGGTTAAGATACGGTAGTGTAGTGTTGGGTAGGGTAAGTTAGGGTAGAGTAGGGTAAAATAAGTTTAAAAAAACGTACACTTAAGGAAGGCCCAACCAAGCTCATGACCATATAGTTGTATTGTCCTATTTGACCCGAATCAATTAGTTCACAAAAGTGCTTCGAGGTTTGTAGACGTTTCAAATCGCGCAGTACATAAACTTCCATTTTCAATACTAAAAATTTTTAAAAATAAAAAAAAAATTTCAAAAAAAAATTTTTAAATTGTGAAAGGGTCCTCTTCTTACAGGTAAGAAAGTTTAAAAGTCATATTAGCCCAGCCTACTTTACCCTACCCTACCCTACCTCACCTTACCTTACACTGCCATACTATATGATGACATAAGTTCCTTTCTCTAACCAATCTCCTTAAAGTCAACAGTCTCTCTCTTTCTGCTGTATACCCTATCCTACCATATTTTACCCTACCCACTGCCTATTCCTAACCAAAAGACTAAAAATCCTATTCCAAAATCCCCGCCCAACACACAGCTTTACCTACCCCTCAAAGTCTCTGTAACTTTCTCCACTTTCATGGCATAACCAACGTTATCTCCACCATGAACCTTGAAGACGGCTCCAAAACTGCCTTCGCCGAGTTTTTTCTCAATGATCCAGGTACCCATGGTTTCACCTTTTTTAAAATTAGCAATTTCATTCTTTTTTGGTTCTTCTTCTTTCTTTACTTCTTCTTTTTTATTCTTAGTTTCATCTTTCTTTTGTTCTTTCTCGTCCTTCTGATGCTTTGATTCTTCTTTCTTCTTGTCATGTTTTGAATGATTTTTTGATTCTCTTTCATGATGATTTGATTCCTTTTCATGATGCTTTGGTTCTTTTTCATGATGCTTTAGTTCTTTATCATCTATATGATGTACCTCTTTTTTGTCCTTTTGATAATTCGATTCTTTATCATCTTCTTGATACTTTGATCCTTTGCCATCAGAATATTTCGAATCTATTTCATCTTTGTTGTGTTTTACTTTTTCTGTTCGTTCTTCTTCTTCTTTATGTAGTTTTGCCTTTTTTTCTTCACTCTTGTCGTCTCTTTTCTTTCCCTCGCTCTTATCTTTTCCTTTTTTGCCTTTACTTTTGTCCTTTCCTTCACTTCTGTCCTTTTCCTTGCTCTTACTCTTCTTCTTGTCCTTCTTTCCTTTTGAGCCTCTTTTGGCCTTCTTGTCAGTTGATTTTACATCTCTATCCTTCTTATCAAGTGATTTTACATCTTTCTTATCACATGATTTCACATCCTTTTCTCTTTTCTCTTTCCCATCTACTTTTAGTTCCTTTTCCTTCTTATCCTTCCCATCCAACTCCTTTTTGTCCTTCTTATCAGAAACGTCCGGGACTCCGGTAATTTCTTCTTTTACCTCCATGAAGTCAATATTGATCACCGTGTCCTTTGATTTCATCAAATATCATTGAATTTCTGAAATTCTGTAACTTATCGTTATATAACTTATTTGAACTGACAATTGTGAGCTGTTAAGCAAAGTAAGGACCATCAAACTTAAGATGAATACCCTATATAACTGCATTTAAACAAAATGAAGCATAAGAACCTTAAAATACAAAAAAAAACCAAATAAAGCTAAAGCAAAAAATGAACTTACTATAACTTTGAAGACCCGGAATGCAACGTAGAAGTCTACTGTAACACCTGTTGGACCAAAGACAAATAAAAGAAGGTAGAATCAAGTAAAAACTTGTAGATATACCACCAAAAATAGATGAAAAACTAACAAGAATTCAAAGAAGAGAAATAATAATCAACCGACAAACGTCGTGAGCTGTAGAAAAATGGTTAAAAATATCAAATTTTAATTTTTTTCAAATTTAATTTTAAAAAATTTTTTTTTTGATTTTTCATGCCTTAATTTTTTTTCAGTATGTTACGTCATAAGCCCTTAAGACTTTGTTTTTCCCAAATCTTTCCAATTTTATAGCAATACTTTACTAAATAAAGCCTCCAAATTATCCCAAAAACATAAAACTTATCGTTTATTGATCAAAAGTTCACATTATTAATATCAACATTAAGCAAATTGGTCGAGAATAAGGTAACTGATCAAAAAATGAAATTAACAATAAATAACATGCCATAATGAAAAATATTTATGATTGGTTTAAAACATACATTTGGGAGGAGATTTAGTACTAGTTATTGGTAGGAGTGAGAAACGGGCCGGGCCTACGCGAGTGAGAAACGAGCCGGGCCTACACATCCCGCTTCTCCCCTTAGTTATTGGTAATATAGAGTCAACTTTTTAATACTAGTTGCTAGTACTACAAAGAACAGTTTAGTACTACTTATCTAAGAAACAGCTTTCGAAAGCCAATTTTACTAAATTTTAAAGACCTTTAATCAAAAACGATGATTTATGCCTCATGATTCAATTCATCATCTTCTACTTTACCAGTCAGTACATCTTCTTATACTTTATCTGCCAATTCATCTTCTTATGCCTCATCAGTCAGTTCATATTCTTCCTTTTGGCTTTCATCAACTGTCTCATCTTCCTCTTTTATCTCTAACTTTGATTCATCTTCCTCTTTCACCTCTTCTCCCTCGTTTTCCTCAGCCTTCACTTCTTCACCTTCTTTTCCTCCTTCTTTCTCTTCTTCACTCTTCTTTTCTTCCCCTTCCTTTCCTTCCTCCTCTTCTTTTACTTCAATTTTAGGCAAATCATCCTTGGCAATTCTTTCGGCCGCTCTTTGAATCGCAGCTTGTAGCTTCTCTGATTCTTCTGGAGTTGGTTCACGTCCATTTAGTTTGAATTCATCGTCAAACTCCTCCTTTTCCAACTCTTCTTTCAAGACGGTGATAGATAGCTTGGCTCTGGTGAAGCCTTCATTCTTAATACTGTGTTTCTTGGATAAAATTTTACAAACAGATGCTCTTTCCAAGATTCCAAGATCGTGGAGCTTTTTCAAGGCCAATACTGCTGCATCGAACGCTACGTTGTCCATATCACTGCCGTTTGAACTGAATTGGAAGAAGGAAGGGAAAAAGGAGGTAAAGATGAACTTTACCATGCATTTAGCTGCCTTGTTGAAGGTTCCGGCTTCTGAAGTCAAAAAAATTATGATTTTTAGGTCTGCCTCTTGTTAGAAAGTTGATTTACTATAGAGAATAATGTGGTAAATCAAAAAAATTTCTTTGATAAGTCATAAACAAGAAGTCCAATATTTAAAATCGAAAATCCGCCAACTCCAACGATTGCCCAACCCAATATTACCTAAAATCCAACAAAACTATCAAAAAACATACGTTCAATAATGGTCTTAGTCCAAATACCATTAAAGTTGAAGATCTTGACAAACTTATTTCGAACGTGCCGTTTGCTTGATTCACTGAGTGTTTTTGCGTTCTCCAGAAGCGTCTCCACAGAATCTTCATCCTTAAACTCTATATCATCAACGCCAGCCGGCTTTTTTTGCTTTGGTTTACGAGCGGTTTCCTTTTTTCTGCCTCCAGCTGGTGTCTAAAACAATATAATATAGATTTTTTGTATTAAAATACTTGTTTTTCTTACAGTACCATTGAAAACCTAGTATAATATGTTAGAATTAGTATTTTTTCTTTGAGAACTTACTACAATATAAAAAAATTAATGTTCTTACCATTTACAACCTACTACAATATAAAATATAACGTTTTTATAATTAAACACCACCTGAATCATAAAAATCAGAGGCGTAAATTAAACATACACCCACAGAAACCTTAAACTTACTCCATCCTTCAACACAACCTTATCTCCAACTCTCTGAACGCCTTTATTATTCTTCTTCCTATTCTTCTTAATATTGTTTCTGTTGTTCTGTTGTTGATTTCCTTGTTGTGGCTTCTTAAACATCGGCTTGATAGGTTGTCTCATTGGAATCGAAGCTAGCCGAGCGTTATAAGAAGGAACTGTTGAATAACCAGCAGCATAATCTCGAGGTTGATATCCATAAGATGGTGGAGAGAAGTGATCATAAGAACTTGGTCGAGCATAAGGTTGTTGATAGCTTGATGGGCTTTGATGAGCGTATGGGTCTCCAAAGACCAGGCGGTCTTGCTAAAATAGAGGTTTTAAAAACTTATTAAATTTAAAGTTCAAGAACGCTAAAGTTCGATATTCTAGATATTAAACTACCTAAAAAAATTGAATTTCAGCCATATAAAACTATTGTTCCTAAATTTATTTAATTTAAAGCCTTTAATACGTTTATAAGATGTTTCACCGTCCCTTTATAAAGGCTTCATGCCTAAAAATCCAAAAACAACTTACTTGCCATGAAGATTGAGGTTGACCCCAAATCTGACGTCCTGTAGCTCCCCATGCTGGTACTTTGGACGGTGAATCCCAAGGAGAAGGCTGTGGACGGCCGCGGTTTCGAGGTGGAGCCATTCTACAACAATAGCAATTTTAATGAGCTCCAAACCAAGGTATTGACGAGTAAGCAAGCCAAAGCAAAGTAAAAATAAACTAAAATACGATCGTAATAGTAAGAATACTAAAGATACGTTAATTAAATCGAATATTTTACTCCACGACGCGCAAAACCTTGCCCTTTTGTGACCAGACATATTTTTTCAACGGACAACGTAAAGAAAGAGAATGCCAAGCCGTTCGTTTGCAGAGCTCGGTTTCGTGGCGGGACTAAACCGTCATTGCCATGTATTTTTATTGTAAACTATTTTTTAATTATTTTTGTTATTCTTTACTATATATTGCTATTTTTATTCAGTATCTATAATTTTCTAAAATTAATAGTCAGTATCTATAATTTTCTAAAATTAATAATTAAGTTCTGTGGCATGAATAAGTCTGCACCCAAGCGGATTCGAACCTATTTGGATTTTCGTGGTAAAGGTCGGTGAAAATAAATGGTGAAAAAGTGGTAAAATACGAATTTTTTATTGTTTCCGTGTAAAACATTAGATATATAATTTTTTGGAGATTCTGAATTTATGAAATATGACCATGAATTGTTTTAATAACTTACAGAAATTTTAAAATTGAGTAAAGTATACAAAAGGTTCAAGGATAATATAAAAGAACTTGATAAATCAGTTGTTAACTTTTTTTAATTTTAAAAAATAATTAAAAGTACTTCAAAATCAATTCAAAAACAATATTTATTTACAGAAAAACCTTCAAATTTAAGCAAAAACATTAGCTTGAGCGGCAGCGACGTTGGCACGGATTGCGGCCGAGTTGGCGGCTAGTCTGGCACGACTTTCAGCGACGGCGGCTTGAGTTCTGGCTTGAGCGGCGGCGATGTTGGCCCGGGTTTCGGCGGCCAAAGTTTGAGCACGAGCTTGAGCAGCGGCTACGTTGGCTTGAGCTTTGGCGGCGACAGCAGTGGCACGAGCTTGCGCGGTGGCCAAGTTGGCATTGGTGCGGGCTTGAGCTTCGGCGATTCTGGCATTGGTCTGGGCTCCTACCGCGGCTACACGGGCGTTGGTTTTGGCTTCAGCGACCGCGACTTTGGCGTTGGTTCGGGCTTCGGTGGCGGCGATTCTGGCATTGTTTTCGGCCGCGATGATTCCAGTTCTGGCGATGGCGGTGTTGGCTGCGAGGTTGCCGCGGATTTCGGCACGGCGAACGGCGTTGGCGACTTGAATGGCTTCGACATTTGCCAGCGTTCCAGCACGAACGGCGTTAGCGTTGGCCAGCGTTCCAGCTACGGCGGCTTCACGTCTGAGTTCGGCGTTGTTCACAGCGGCTTCACGGCGAAGTTGGGCATTGGTGACGGCTCTGGCGACATTGGCGTTGGCTACAGCACGGTCTACGGCGGCTTCACGTCGAAGTTTTTGGCCGACTACACCGCTGTTCAACTCAGCACGGCGTACTGCGTTTTCGGCGGCAATGGCACCCAAGAATTGACGTTTGGCTCGGAGTTCAGCTGAAGCTGTGGCTAGGACGATGGCGAAGAGAAGGCTGGTGAAGCGGTTCATCTTGGGCAGTATTTTAGGTATACGATGGTATACTGTTGTCGTATGTGGAGGTAACTCGTTGATACGAATAAAGAAACTTGAGATCAGGCAGGCTATTTATAGTGATCGAAAAGGGGGCGCGGTATGTTGACTACAAGCTTTGTCAATCGCGTTTGGTCACCATATAGCTAGCTACATCTTACGTATAATGGCTAGAGAAGAAAACCTTTAATAGATTTAGAGATATACCTCTGTTCTAGCACGTATGGTTAATGTATTATTATTTATAACATGTATCGGGGTATGTTATTATAGGCGATTTGCGTTCTTGGTCAGTGATCTTTGTTTTATATTTGACCTAGTGTATTACAATATAAGTTTATGTTTTTTTATGAAAAATAAAGCTAATTTAAAAATTTTAAACTTATTTAAAAGTTTTTCTATTCTCTACTTTACCCATATCCCTATTCCCTATCCTTTTTTCTACTTCTACCCCTATTCTTACATTTGCCACTAACCTTATTCCTAACTATACCTTAGTTACCTCTTGCTTTTGCTTTACCTTTGATATTATCCTTACCCCTACCTTTACTCTTGCCTACCCTTCGGCCACGCCCTACTTTTTTCTATATTTATTTAGAGAAAAAGTAGGTAATAGGTCTTACTTTTACCTCCACTCGTACCTTCACTCCTACCCATAACTTTGCTATTAGTTCTACCCTTACCTCTATCCTTACCCTTTTCTTTGCTTTTATCCCTATCCTAACCTCTATCCGTACCCCTAACTCTACTAAAGGTTTTTATTTTTATCCTCACTTTCACCTCTATCCCTATGTCTAACTTTACTTTTGCTCATATCTCTGTAAGAGCAAAGGTAAATTACCCTTACCTCCGTTCGTACCCCTAACTTTATTTTTATCCGTAACCCTGCCATTACTTCTATTCCTACCCTTATCTCCACTCTTACCCCTACTCCTACTCATACCTCCATCCTTACTTCTAAGTTTACTTTTGCCGTTCTTTCTACCCTACCCTTATTTCCATCCCTACACTTCACCCCGGTTACTACTACAATCTCTACCCCTACCCTTACCCCTAAAACTCATTTAACAAATGACCAAAAAATCAATAAAGAATTATTTAGAATGTTTATTCAAATTTCAAATCACTAGCCAAAACCACAAAAGTTTTCATCAGTATCACTGTATCATGCCATCAATCTTGTTTTAGATCATATCAGACGTTTCCTCAAAGCCATCGTTGGTCGCCTTGTGCGTTGACACCAACTTCTCGTCTTTATGTGGATCAGTCAGTTTTTTGGACTTTGGATCGGTGCATTCTTCAGGCTTTTGGTCTTCTGAATCTTTGTTCGACTTATCTTCACCAGCTGCTTCAATCGACTCGAAGGAACTCTTACTCTTCTTGGGGGTTTGCTGCTCGGGCGGTTCTTCGAGCTGGAAATTAGAAAAATATGTTTTGTAAAGAAAGTTTTTGCTATTTTTTGTTTTGTAAAGAAAGTTCTTGCTATTTTTTGTTTTGTAAAGAAAGTTCTTGCTATTTTTTGTTTTGTAAAGAAAGTTCTTGCTATTTTTTGTTTTGTAAAGAAAGTTCTTGCTATTTTTTGTTTTGTAAAGAAAGTTCTTGCTATTTTTTGTTTTGTAAAGAACGTTCTTGCCATTTTATGTTTTGTAAAGAAAGTTCTAGCAAAATAAAAAAAAACTCACTCGTTTCTTGTACGCCTTCACCAAATATAACCAAACAAAGCAAATGGCACTCATCACACCAAAGGTAACGCCTCTGAAATTTCAAATAAAATTTAAAAAAAATTTTTTACCCCCCCCCCTTCCTCTTACATTTTTTTTTGGAAAAGTACAAAAACTTATTTAATTTCTACCTTTTTTAAAAATGTACCCTACCAACTTTTTGAAAAAAGTTAAACGTGTCCCCCCATGATCTTATTCTTAACCTAACCTAACCCTACCCTAACCTACCCTACCCTACCCTACCCTACTCTACCTTACTCTATTCTACTTTACCCTACCCTACTTTGTCCTATTCTACCCTACCTTACCTTAGCTTTACCCCTACCCCTAACCCTTCTTCTATTATAAAAGCCGTGCCCCCACCTCTAGCCATAGCTTTTGCCCTATTAGACATGAGGAAAGAAAGATAGGGCCGGACCTGATGTTAGGCTTGTCCCGATCAAAATTTTCCTCAGGCCTGAACCATTCCTCATGTCCTAAGCCCTAACTTTACCTCTCCTTGAATTGTTAACTAAATTTTTTTTTCATACCAAAAGCTACCCATTCGAAGCTGTTCAACTCATTAAAAAATCACCCACACTCTTTCCCCTACCCAGCCAAAACTTACATAATGTACATCAAGATGACCACCAGCATGCACATGTACGACTTCGGGTCGGATGAGTCTATTTTGGGTATAAAAGGCTTTTTCTTATGCAATTCAATGAACCTGGCCTTGTCCGAGACGTGATCAGAAACGCCATCGAATGGGAAAAGGAGCTTACCCTCCAGATAGTATTCTGGCTGGCGCCCTATACAGTCCATAGGGACACGGACCTCGTCAAAGCCGTTTGCGTCCTTGTGCACCACCAGCGGCTGTATTCCGTCCCGCGCCACCAGTTTACCAATGTAATGTGGTGTTTTGTCGTGCACTGAGATCACGGATTGGAAAAAGACTCGGCCGGTGCGTGTAATGGTCAGCTTGAACAGTTGAAACAAATCCTGTTCGTATACGCGGAACTGGCAGACTGGGCTCGGCACATAAAACAAGTTACGGTTACTGGTCATTTACTCATTTTCTAACTGATAAGGGGGACTATTAGTTATGAAATGAGTAGGGTAGGGTAGGGTAGGGTAGGGTAGGGTAGGGTAGGGTAGGGTAGGGTAGGGTAGGGTAGGGGTAAGGTAGGGTAGGGTAGGGAGGGTAGGGTAGGGTAGGGTAGGGTAGAATAGGACAAAGTAGGGTAGGGTAAAGTAGAATAGAGTAAGGTAGAGTAGAGTAGGGTAGGGTAGGGTAGGGTAGGGTAGGGTAGGGTAGGGTAGGGTAGGGTAGGGTAGGGTAGGGTAGGGTAGGGTAGGGTAGGGTAGGGTAGGGTAGGGTAGGGTAGGGTAGGGTAGGGTAGGGTAGGGTAGGGTAGGGTAGGGTAGGGTAGGGTAGGGTCGAGTAGGGTAGGGTAGGGTAGGGTAGGGTAAGATAGGGTATTGTAGAATAGGGTAGGGTAGGGTAAGGTAGGGTAAGTTAAGTTAGAGTAAGGTAAAGTAGGGTAAAGTGGGTAGGGCAGCACAGTAGGGTTGAGTAAAAAGGTAGCGATAAGCTAAGGCTAAGGTAAGATTCGGGTAGTAGGTAGAACAGTGCAGGGTAGACAAAAGGAAAGTGTACGCAAGGAAAGGATACGGTAGAGCAGTTTAAGGAAGAGTACGGTGGGGTAGAATAAGTTTGATTACGGTAGGGTAGAGTAGGGTAAGGTTGGGTAGGGTAAGGTAGGATAGGATATGGTAGACTAGGATAAGGTACGGTACGGTACGGTAGGATAAGGTAGAGCAGGATACGGTACGAAAAGGTAGGACACAGCAGTAAACTTGTTGGCCAGTAAACGTTAAACTTAACTCGGGTGCGGTCTCGTTGCACTGGTAATCTGAAAACATTTTTTATATTTACTATAGCTTCTCATCTCCCTCTTTCTACAAATATAAAACTTACCATCAAGAAAGTGGCCGTCGACTACAATGTACCACCATTCAGGACTACGATAATACGTCGAAAATGTTACGTTGAACAATGCGAAATCTCCGCTAAAAATACACTGTACAAAACATAAAATGGCAAGAACTTTCTTTACAAAACATAAAATAGCAAGAACTTTCTTTACAAAACATAAAATTGCAAGAACTTTATTTACAAAACATAAAATAGCAAGAACTTTATTTACAAAACATAAAATAGCAAGAACTTTCTATACAAAACAAAATGGCAAGAACTTTCTTTACAAAACAAAATGGCAAGAACTTTCTTTACAAAACAAAATGGCAAGAACTTTCTTTACAAAACATAAAATAGCAAGAACTTTCTTTACAAAACATAAAATAGCAAGAACTTTATTTACAAAACATAAAATAGCAAGAACTTTCTTTACAAAACATAAAATGGCAAAAACTTTCTTTACAAAACATAAAATGGCAAAAACTTTCTTTACAAAACATAAAATGGCAAGAACTTTGTTTACAAAACTTTCGGAACGTACCGTTGTTTCGGTTCCAGCTTATCCAACTGTATATTCATCTGGAACTCTTTGAACTCGGGATAACGAATAACAAATTTGTTATTCTTCAATTCCGAAGACAGGCGACATAACGTGTGTAATTCCACAACCATCGGATGATAGAACTTATACTGCGCTTGTATTACTACGCACAGCGTCATCGTGGCAAGAAGAAACCGCAACATATCGCCGAATGGAGCACCGCCGCAACCGTGCTGTCGGGTATGAACGAATGACTTTTCAGTTTGAAAATTCAAAATTTTTATTTTTTTAAAAAATTTGAAATTTGCATATAAGGTTGTTCAAATTAATTTACTCTTGAGTGTACTTGGCTATATTACACTTGGTAGAGTTAAGTAAAAAAGGTCATATCAAGTGTAATTTCAAGTTTAAGAAAGAGTTGTTAAAATAATTTTGTGCCTCTTATTGATGCAAACTTAGTGGGTTAGGGGAGGAAGGGGGTGGAGCAGAGAATTATTTGAACAAGCTAATTAATAGAATTTTTACTCCTACCCATACCCCATACTATCCCATACCACCCCCATACCCCGATACCTGCAGACTACCCCCGTACCCCATACTACCTCGTATCCCATACCTTTATACCCTATAATTCCATGCCCGATACCCCATACCCCCATGTCTCATACCCCCATACCCTTATACCTTTATACCCCTATACCCCGTATCCGCGTAACACATACTCCGATACCTTCATATTACTTCGTACCCCATACTACTCCATACCCCACAAGTGCAAATATCAAAATTAAATTTATTATTATACATACAGTAATATTGCACACCGGTATTAATAATATTATAGTAGTACAAAAAGTCTATTTACAGTACAGTAAACATAAACTGTGAACAGTAGAATATCATCGAGCTGACTGAGTTTTGGTCAGTAAAAGTCCATCTCCCGGTCGGGCGGTTCTTAATGGGTTTTCCTCTGAAAATTCAATTTTTTTTTGTTTGTAAAGAAAGTTCTTGCCATTTTTTACTTTGTAAAGAAAGTTCTTGCCATCTTTTGTTTTGTAAAGAAAGTTTTTGCCGTTTGTATTAAAAAAGCTAGTTTGTGATTTTGCAGGTAACAAGTTATACGATGGAAAAGATCCTTCGTGTTGTAAAGAATGTTTGTGCCATTTTAAAAAAAAAAATAAATTTTTAAATTTTGAGCCGGACCCAATTTTACGTCCTGGTCAACAAGCTAGACCATGTTTTAGGCCGGGCTCTCGAGACCACATGCGTCATCCAGCTCGGTCCGGTCACGTTCAGATTTTAAACTTGTTTTAGCCGGCTCGAGGCCTAATGGGACCCCTTTCAAGTCTAAACACTATGTTTGGTAGATTGTTTTTCATTACTATGCCCTGGAGATTAAATTAAAATTTTTTAAAACTATTGTAAAGTAATTTGTAGGTATATTGCTTACCACTAGTGTAACTCAGCAGATCATCAGCAAACTCGACATCTTCAACATCACTTTCTCTTTTAATATCCAGGTAACTGACAGGCTTTGGTTCTTTCTGAAATTTAAAAAAATTTAATTTTTAAAAATTTAAAAAATTTAAATTTAAAAAAATTTTTAAATTTAAAAATATCAAAATTTTATAAATAAAAAAATTTTTTAATTTCAAAAATTAGCCTTACCCTCAAAGTTTTCATCTCCCCATCCTTGACCTTCATAGCATCATCAACAAAGTGGTTGATGTTAAACTTGTCCAACTCTTCAACTGGGATGTTCAACTGATCTCCCAAGTGTCTTATTAGGTTCTTCAGCTTCATCCTGAATAAAAAGTATTAAAAATGGAAAAAACTTTCTTTACAAAATATAAAATGGCAAGAACTTTCTTTACAAGATATAAAATGGCAAGAACTTTCTTTAAAAAACAAAAAATTGCAAGAACTTTCTTTACAGAACGTAAAAAGACAAGAATTTTCTTTCCAAACCAAAAAATGGCAAGAACTTTCGTTACAAAACTATAAATGGCAAGAACTTTCTTTACAAAAAACGAAACGACAAACACTTTCTTTACAAATCAAAGAATGGCAAAAAACTTGTTTACAAAACAACAAATAATAATAACTTTCTTTACAAATCGAAAAAACACAAAAAATCCAAAAATTTTAAATTTACTTTTTCCCGCCGAACCAAATGTCAACAGAAGCGACATCTTCAATTTTCCTTCCAAAGTAATGCAGCTTTTTCAATAACTCGGCTGCAATTTCAATCGCCATGGTCGTTAGAGCCAGACCAACTGTAATATAGGCAAATGTCACTATCAGAAAGTCGTACCTAAAATATCAAAGTCAAAAGTCATACCTAAAACATCAAAATCAGTAAGTTATTCTTTTTTTGTGGTTTATGTCTATTATAAAATGACTAGTTCAATTAAGAAATATATTAAAAATGGCTTAAAAAGCATTAAACTTTTAAATTTTTACTTTCCCGCCATTTTCGGCATAGTGTTGCAAGTGAATTTTTTAATGAAAAATAAGTATAACTGGTCTTACAAGCTTATAAAAATGTCTTTGATCAAATTTTAAGCCTTTTTTTAACCTAAAATTCGCTATAAAATGTAATGCCAAAAAGCGCGGCAAAATAAAAATTCAAATTTTAAAAGTGCATGATGCCACTTTAAAACATAAAAATATTTTTAAAATAACAAAAACATGTTAAAAATACATCTTTTCATGATTTAAAACAACCCTTGCAACACAATGCCAAAAATTGCAGAAAAATCAAAATTCAAATTTTAAAAGTGCAAATTTAGGCTTCAAATTAAACAAAGTTTTAAAAGGTCATAAGTATGTCCTAGATTCAACTTTTTATAACTCCAGACCCACTTTTATTAGAAAATACGACCATTTTTCAATATTCACCTACCTCTTCGGTACAATATCACCAAGACCAATGGTAGTCAACGAAACAAAAGTAAAGTAAATGGCGGTAAAAAACGTCATTTCTGGTTCATATAAACTAATAATAAATGATCCAATGATTAAATAAAGTGCAAAAATGACAGCCAATGTGACGGATTCGGAAGTTCGTCGTTCTTCCATCGAATCCGTCGATGAATGGGAGTTGGCTGATGATTTCGACCGGTCGGTTTTGGGATTATTGTTTTCTTCTATGTCGTTGATTTTGAGAGTATCTTGAGTTGAATCAGTCGAATTACTTTGAGTTTTGGTCAGTTTGTTTCGCTGAAAGCGGAAACTTTGTTTACAAGATCACAAATGGCAAGAACTTTCTTTACAAAGAAAAGAAATGCATAAAATTTTTCTACAAATCAAAAAACTAGGAAAAACTTTCTTTCCAAGCCAAAAAATAACAAGACTTTTCTTTAAAAAGCAAAAAGTCGGTTTCATCGTATAACTTGTCACCCGCAGGCTGCAAAGCCGTAAAGTAGTTAGTTTAGAAACAAATGGCAAGAAATTTTTTTATAAAAAAATAAAATGGCAAAAACATTCTTTACAAAACGTAAAATGACAAGAACTTTCTTTACAAAACAAAAAATTGGTTTCATCGTATAACTTGTCACCCGCAGTCTGCAAAGCCGTAAAATAGCTAGCTTTGATACAAATAGCAAAAACTTTCTTTCAAAAACCTAAAATGGCAAAAACTTTCTTTCCAAGCCAAAAAATGCCAAAAACTTTCTTTCCAAACCAAGAAATAACAAAAACTTTCTTTACAAACATAAATTTAAAAAAAAACTCACTTGAAACCTGTACCGGTCGATGTCTTCCTTAACATCCACGATGGTTTTTACCACAAATTTGACAATTTTATTCAAAAACATGCCAATGTCAGCAATGGTAAGCAATGCCAATGGTACTCCAACCAGACCATATATTACACAAAATGTTCTACCAGCTATTGTCACAGGTGCCACGTTACCGTAACCTGAAAATAGTTTTTACCTTAAGGTCCATCTAAAAATTTTTGGCCGTGAACACTACAGTAATCAAAAAATAATCCTTTTTTACCTAAGTTTATCGTTTTTTAATGAAAAAACACATTTTTAGGGTCTGCAAGCTGCGGGAGCCATTTTATACGACAAAAAGTACACAGATTTAAAATATAACGAAAAAGAGCAGTATCTAAGAAGATACAGTAATCAAAAAACTAATATACAATAAGGAAAACTAGTTTAAACTATTTTTGCCATAAATTTTTAGCCCGCAGTTTGCAAAAATCATCTTATACGATGAAACATGTCCAAAGCTCTCGCCGAAAGAAAATCTTACCAATAGTAGTGATAACCGTAAAAGCAAATACAACTGCGTTGTGAAACGACCATCCAACTTCTTCTTCACCACCCTCTTCCGCCATTACTGTAAAAAGTTTTGTCATTTTTTCAAAATTTCAAAATTTTTCAACATTTTTTTTAAAAAATTTTGAAACGGTACCCAAAAATTCAAAATCAAGTGCCATAGTACCTTAAAATTATCTAAAAACTTGTGACATCCAACTTACACTGTTCATACCGCCGATATTCGTAAGTTGTCATCATCGTCCTGGGCGCAGCAGTTGTCGTAACAATAACATTTTTGGTTTTGTTAGGCAACTGAATCTCAGCGTAACGATAACAATCATCCAGAGCCGTAATAGACAGTTTGTCCAACTCATTTGGTGTACAACCAGCCAACAACAACATATCGTGAATAGCGCTTTGAACGCAAGAACGGAGCTGAAATGACATTTTATATTGTAGATGTTATTTTGAAAGGGTTGTAAAATACGTATTGTTTCAAAGTTCAGTTAAATATACTGTTATTAGTGGCGCTGGATGTCACATTTCAAAAAAAAGTTAAATTTTTACTAAAAATTAAAATTTTAAATTTCCCGCCAATTTTGGCATTCTGTTTCAAGTAGTCTAAAAAACGAAAATTGATAAACTTTTCAATAGTAAAGTAATTTTATGTCCTTTTAGCTTACTTTACTCTTATTTTTCGTTTTGACCATCCAAAATTTGAACTTTTGTTATGCCGCCAAATTTGGCATCCTGCTTCAATTAGTCTAAATAACTAAAAATGCCAATTGTTTTGATATTAAATTGATTTTATGCTTTTTTAGCTTACTTTACTCTTATTTTTCGTTTTTGATTATCTAAAATTTGAATTTTTGTTTTCCCGCCAATTTTGGCATTTCGTCAACTTATTTTCGAATAAAAAAAATCAATATATAAAACTTGTTGCATAAGTATTTCAAACAAAAAAATATATTTTAGCCTAAACTTATCTTTTATTTTTGTTTTGAATTTATAAACTTTTTGGCATTCTGTTTCAACTTACACCAGGAGCAAGTGCACTCAATTCCGGTCCTGATAATACAATTTCATCCAAATTGGCGGCTCGTTTTGGTCGACTTGGGGGACCTAGATAGCCATTTTCTCGGTTTGTTCTGAAATCGTATTTTTAATTTAAAAATTTTAAATTTTTTAAAATTTTTTTAAAGAATTTTTTATTTAAAAGCTTATTTATACTCTATAGTAACAATAAAGTACAGAAAACGTATTTTACAATTAGGTATAAAATTAAAATTTAGCTTACTTTTCGATTTCCGAATTTTCAAAACTCCTCATGACATAGGCTCCAAACAAGGTATAGGCAGCGACCGATACCACCATAAACACATGGATGAAGATGGGTGAGGCCTGAAAGTAAAAATAAAAAGTCAAATGTGACATGCCGTCATCAAAAATTTAAATTTTTTTTTAAAATTTTGCTCCGCCCCTTAAAAATATTTTTTACCCCACCTTTTTTCAAAAATTTTTTTTTGAAAAAAGTTCAACTTGTCCTTCCCTTGCAAATCTAAGAAAATTTTTAAAATTTAAAGCAAGATTTAATAGACTAGCAAAAATTTTTAATTCTGAATGATGATAAGGTAAGACAACGACAGATGTTAAGGTATCATGAACTCACCACCGAGAATTTATCTTTAATTCCGCGTATTCGACTGAAGAAGAACATAGCGCAGGCTCTTCTGACTATAACCAAAATCACATTTCAAACAAAAAAAATCGCGTGTCAAGTAAAAAACTGCAATACAACCCCTGTATACCAAACTCCTCTGTAACAAAAGTTCCGTATAAAAGTAACTTTTAGACCCACATCTACTACTACAGCATTTAATAAAAGCCCTAAGCACAGTCCTAACCTTTGTTGTAGCTCCAGCTTTAGCTCTGGCATTGGTGCTAGCCCTAGTCTTATTTATAGTCTAAAGGAACCAAAAAAAATGTTGAAAAATATTGTTTACAAACCGCCAAAAGCTTTGAAAAAACGTTAGACGGCTTCGAAAGCCCCATTTGTCGATTATTAACAAAGAATTAAAAGTCTTTTCCTTTTATTCAAGTCCGGAAGGCCTTTGGAATTTGAATGGCAGCAAATTGTGCCATTACTTTTTAAAGTTTTTCAAAAAATTTATAAACTTTTATCTTTAGCCTTAGGCTTAGCCTTGGCCTTGGCCTTAGGATTAGCCTTAGCCTTAGTTGTAGCCTAAACTACTTAAAAATTTTCAAAATAAGGATTGCTATATCTATACATATAAAACTAAAAGGAAAAGGTCTGCTTTCGAGTATTTACTTGTCATTATGTCAAACATATATTGTTGTTTTTTCCGAAATGACATTTGTTCGCTTAGGTGGCTCGTAAATTTGAATGTTGGGAAACAGGAACGGCATGAAGAATTGAGGAAGCGCTGTTGCAATTTAAAATTTATTTATCTTTGGCTGGAGCTAAGACTACCGCTTCGTTCAGGGCTTAGACAAGTATTTAGGCTAAATCTTAGACTATAAATAAGTCTAGAGCTAGGGATCAAGCTAAAGCTTATATAGTGCTTAGACTAGAACTAAAGCTAAAGCCGCGGCTGAGAATAAAGCTTAAGTAAGGGTTAAACTAGAACTATGACTAGCGTTTAGACTAAGGCTAGGGCTTCCGCTGCGGCATAGGCTCAGGCTCAGGCTAAGGCTTAGGCTTAAGCTTAGGCTTAGGCTTGGGCTTAGGCTTGGGCTTAGGCTTAGACTTAGACTTAGGCTTAGGCTTGGGCTTAGGCTTAGACTTAGGCTTAGGCTTAGGCTTAGGCTTAGGCTTAGGCTTATTCTTAGGCTCAGGCTCAAGCTCAAGCTCAGGCTCGGGCTCTGGCTCAGACTCAGCTTCAGGCTAAGGCTAGGGCTTACATTATGTACTCCCTACACATAAAATTGAGCACCAGTACCCTATACCTTAAAAAATTGCAAAAGCAATCAAAATTAAAAAAAAAACTTTCCACCCTCCCCCCCGTTCTCAGCAAAATCATCTATTCGCCACAATTTCTTACAGTAAATAATCTTCTACTTTATAAGTTAAAATCCTCATAACTCTTGCATTGTATAAGGTTAGTAACTCCTCAATTACTAAACTTTATTACGTTTCATGACCCTCGAGCGAACGGCGTCTTTGACAAATTGAAACAGAGCCCAAAAGAAATGTCAGTGTAATTTGTCTTTTCCGGATGCCAAACCCGTCTCAGATTAAATAAACTAGTCGTTTTTTGCGTGTTTGAAAGTTTCAAACCCTAAGGACAAATTGAGATTGCAAATCTTAAAAAAAAATAGTTTGAAATTACAAAAAATTTTAAAAAATTTTAAAAATTAGCAAAAAAAACTAAAAAGTTTTAAATTATAGGCTAAAGCTTAGACTAGGGCTTTTAAGGCAGGCCATACACTATAATTAACGCTAGGGTTAAGGCTAAAACTGCGACTAAGACTAACCCAAGGCCAAGGTTAAGCTAACTTTAATTGTAAGCCAAAGGCTAAAACTAACGCGTAGGCTACAACGTAAGCTAAAAAAAATCAAAAAAATTTAAATTTTTAAAATTTAGTACGAAGAACGGTTTTAAAAGTGTAGCGTTCCAAACATGTTTCCATCAAGATCTGCTCAGTACGATAACACTGGTTGTTCGTCATGTTTTGAAGAGAAACATGACAAAACAAACAAGTGCAAATGTGTCCTTTTATAGCTTTTAGCAGTTTTAGAATTTTAAAATGCACTTTTAATCTCACAAGTAAAAATTTTTTCATTTTGCAATTTTTTGTTTGTAAAGAAAGTTCTTGCCATTTTTTGCTTTGTAAAGAAAGTTCTTGCCATTTTTCGATTTGTAAAGAAAGTTTTTACCATTTTTATATTGTAAAAAATGTTTTTGCAATTTTATGTTTTGTAAAGAAAGTTCTTGCTATTTTATGTTTTGCAAAGTAAGTCCTTTCCATTTTTTGTGTTGTAAAGAAAGTTTTTGCAATTTTTTGTTTGGAAAGTAATTTCTTGCCATTTGCATAAAAAAAATCTATTTTACGGCTTTGCAGCCTGCAAGTGACAGGTCATACAATAAAAAAATTTTTTTTGCACTGTAATGTTCCCACTGTACATTACTCTAATCTACCGTACTCGACTCCACAATACTCTACTTTACTATATCCTACCACCGCATGACTTCTCCTCCAAAAACAGCCCTTATTACAATAAATGTCTAGTGTCAAACCCTACTGGTTAGACACCACCTCTCCCCAGCTCGTCCCAAAAACTCGAAAGCTCAAAAAAGTCACAAACAATTGAATTCCGGGTTCTCACCTAAACTTTGGTGCAGGAGAAAAATTGAGATTGATTGGGATGACGTTGGGCCCAAGAAACAAAAGAAATAAAAGTGGAAAATGAGGGTTGTTAAACATAACGATACTCAGAAAAAAGCTCGTAAAATTAAATGTCACAAATTTTTGGGTTGTGAGATGATTTACACACACTTTATGAAATGTCAGCTGTAGTACTGTTCAAGATAATGAAGGAAGTGGTAGGGTAGGATAAATAAGAGTAAAATATATATGGTAAATAGAAACGAGGTACTAAATAAGAATAGGGTGAATCAGATAAAGGTAAAATAAGACAACATTTAAAAAAACGAGCTAAAGCTAAAGTAAATGTAAAAGAAAAAATAATGTAAGGCTATGTTTGGCTGTAAAATAAGGCTAAAAAAGGCTGACAAAAGACTAAAAATAAGGCGTAGAAGGTCTGGTTCTAAAGCATAAGTTAGTATAGGACTAAAAAGGCAAGCTAAAAGCAAGAGAAAGTGCTAAATTAGAGAGAAAAGGGCTAGGCCAGAGCTAGAGCAAAGCTATTGAATAGGCTAGAGTAGGGGGCTATGAAAAGAGAAAAGTAATCGCCAGAGTAAGCGATTAGGTAGGCTAGCATAGAGCAGACCTGTAAAAGAGCCAGGCGCAATTGTTTAGCCCTGGCTTTTCTAAATTCGCTAAGCCTAGATTCGCGCGGGGCTGAAACCGGATGGAGCCGGGGGACTACAGCCCCCTCTTTCAGTTCTAGTGTAGAGCTTAAGAGATAAAAACGTAAGACTAAAGTAGCAAAGGTAGCGCTGGAGTTAGCTAAAGTAAAATCTAAATCAGAGGCTAGGGTGAGGGCCAACAATTGTAAGGCAAAGCTAGGTTAACACTGAAGTTAAACTAGAATTAGGTTGACAAACTGGCAAGGTAAAGCTAAATAAAGCTCTTAATTTTATTACTCAAAACACCTTACCTCATCTGGTTGTAGATTTTTCAACAACATATCAATTATATAACAATGATAATGTTGTTAGGCCCAATTATATTTTTAATAGCTCAATAATAACCAAAATAGTCAAAAAAATAAGATTAGATTTCAAAATGACAAGCTTTAAAATACCTACTAGCAAAAGTAAGAAAGAACAAACAAGTGCAATACTCAAAACCCAATAGCCCTTAGGCGTTTATGAATAATTCCCAAAAAGTTTCTTCGTAAACACAATTAGGTATGGTTTTAGAAGGGTAAAGAAGTTTAAAAATTAATAGAAAAATAAATAAAATGCCATTTTTTAAAACATTTTTTGAAATTTCATGAATTTTAAAGTTTAAATTATGTTTTAACAGTCTGAAGGCATTCCCGCTTTAAAAAGTCTAGCTTGTGTCATATTATGTTTAGTAAAGAAAGTTCTTGCCATTTTTTGTTTTGTAAAGAAAGTTCTTGCCATATTTTCTTTTGTAAAGAAAGTTTTTGCCATTTTTTTCAAAACAAGCATTTTTTTGGTTTTGCAGGCTGCGGCTGACAAGTTATACGAAAAAAATCCATTATTAATTTTGCGAAAAAAGTTCTCGCCATTTTTCACTTTGTAAAGAAATTTCTTGCTATATTTTACTTTGTAAAGAAAGTTCTTGCCACTTTTTGTTTTGTAACGAAAGTTCTTGCCATTTTTAAAAGTAAATCAGTAAAATAACTTACCCTAGTACAACTCAACTTGAACGTCACCGATTTGGCCATCTCTTTGCCATTCGAAAAACTGAAAAAAATCAATTTGAAATTGTTATATTAGCTAAAACAACGTAAGATATAGTACTGAAACATAATAATATATGAGTACTAAACCTGCACCGACTAAATTTTAGACCGTATTTTACAAAACTTACTCTAAAGTTACCCCCATAGTAAGGAAAATTGAACTTTAAAGCTAGCGAGACCAAATACGTATTTTACAAAATATAGACAATTTTACAGTAGTAAAACTAAAGTACAGTATGAATAAAAATAAAAAATAAATTTTTGAAAATTAGATATACATAAGCTAATATGTATTGCGCAACGCTTTGAACACAAATGAGTAATGATCTATAGTGTTCTTTTGTTTAAAAATTAGAAAAAAAAACACTTGAGAAACAGTTCAAAACCTTGGTTTGAAAAAACGTCTAAAGACCACATTTTACGTCAATCACCACGCATATCAATAATTTTTATGCTACATTCTCCACTAGACCTTAATTAGGGTTTAGTAGTCTCACTGGAAGGTACTGCAACGTTCATATTTCGTTCAAGTTTTTTTAATTGAAAGATCATGTAAACGTAAGATCTTATGCAAATTCTAGTTGTGGTTTGCGGCCAGACTTAATAAAATCGAGATAAAAAAACCGATTTTTGAATTTCCCGCCAAATTGGCATAGTGCAAGCTTTTTACTTTGTTATTTTTTTACCTTTTTTTTACTGTTCTTTAATATAATGATAGAAAAGCTTCAAATGAACCTGCAATTTCAAATTTGTAAGCCTATCTTATCGGAACATCAAAAAAAGTCAAATATTTAAAATATATATATTTAAAAATATTTAAAATTTAAAACAGCGCAAGCTAAATTTTTTATGGGTACTATTATCGTACGAGGAATTCATATAATAATTTTGAGCTGATTCTGAGAGGGGCAGGTAGGGTACTTTTCTTGTAAACTAAGCCTACGTAGAAACGGTACTTTTTAAAATACAATACAGTCTAATACCCAAGAAAAATGTTACCAAATTTTAACAAAACTAATAAAAAACAAGGCTTGCTTACTAAGCCAGAGAACTAGCATGCGCTCTGTAAGACGTAAAAATAAATAAACATTACCTATCCTTATTCTCCTTCCTCTGTGTTTTAATATAAGCATATTTTTATACCCTACTTGATTAAAAAAACCATGAGTACGTAGAGTAAAGCATTAGAAAAACAAAAGAAAATCACGTGCTTCAAGTACTACACTCGTATAACAACCTAATTGCCTGAATTGGTAATGTTAAAACCTGACGAAAAGCAATCTTTGACGTATTAATGTCAAACTAAGACGTGTAATAAAATTTACCCCGAACGTGTGTAAGCCTATGTCTAATAAAACGACTAAGACTATGCCCAAGTCTAAGCATATGCCCATGTTTAAACATAAGGTAAACCCTGAGCCTATGCCAAAGCTTAAGACTACGCTTACGCCTACGTCTAAATCTGGGCCTAAACCTACGCCTATTCTTATGCCTAGGTCTAAGAAAATCCCTAAGCCTAATTTTTTCAGCCTAAACCTAAATCTAAGTCTCAGCTTAAGCGTAAGCCTCAACCTAACTCTCAGCCTATGTCTCAAACTAAGCCTATGAATAACAATAAGCCTAAGTCTAAGTCTGAGCTTATGCTTATACTCAATCTATCTTCAACCCCATTTCTTAATCTAACTTAAGCCTAAGACTAAGTCAAACCTAAAATGTTTTCCTAATTCTAACCTTAAGCTTGGCTTTAGCCTAGCTAACCCTAAACCTGCTCTACAAATTCCTAACGACCAAACGACAAAAATTAACCCCCAGGCAATCAAATTTTAAAAAATCCCCGCCAAATTGGCCGCAAAAGGTCAGCCCAACTCTGGGAATAAAACCGGCTGATTTTCGGTCCTCCAATTTCCTTAATTTCGCACCCAATGTAAGGAATGGCAATTTATTCGATATGCATGGCCTTTTAATAGCAGCGCCTACTATTTGCAACCAGGCTTTGACGTAATTTTATATTAGAGCTGAGCTAGGTTAGAGCTAGGATTAACGCTGGAACTAAAATTAGGACTAAGGGTGGGGCTCTGGGCTAGGGCTGAGGTTAGGGTTAAGGCTAGGGCTAGCGTTGAAGCTACAAATAAAGCTACAGCTAAGGTTCTGTTCTAGGGCTCTGGGCTAGGGCTCTGAGATAGGGTTGTGGGATAAGGCTCTGGGCTAGGGCTCTGGGCTAGGGCTCTGGGCTAGGGCTCTGGGCTAGGGCTCTCGGTTAGGGCTTTGGGCTAGGGCACCGGGCTAGGGCTCTGGGCTAGGGCTCTCGGCTAGGGCTCTGGGTTAGGGCTCTCGGCCAGGGCTCTGGGCTAGGGCTCTCGGCTAGGGCTCTGGGTTAGGGCTCTCGGCCAGGGCTCTGGGCTAGGGCTCCGGGCTCTGGGCTCTGGGCTAGGGTTCTGGGCTAAGGCTCTGGGCTAGGGCTCTGGGCTAGAAATAAGACTTGAGCTAGGGCTAAACTCCAAAAAATAGCAAGAAAGATGCCTAAAAGCGGCCATATTGTCATCAACATGCCAATTAAGCTATAAAAACCGTGTTAATGGCTTTTCAAGTAACCATTAAATGTTTCATTTCAAACTTGAAACAATATTTTTTGTAAAGCGTCCTTAAACTTTATTCTTTAATCAAAACTTGGAATTAAAGTACATTAGAAGCCCTTTCATAACAACAAAACTTAAAGCTGTGGAACTTCTGTACAAACCAGAAATTCGTTATACAGAAGTTCCACTGAAGTTACCAGAGTTCCCAAATTTCAAATTTCCAACTCCGGCTCCGCCATTTTTAAAATTTTAGCTCCGGCTTTAACACTTCAGCTCCGGAGCTGCTCCGAAGTCGAAGCCGGTTCCGGAGCCCGTGGGAACTCTGGGACTTACAATGACAAGTATACAAATTATGACTAGGGCTAAGGCTATAGCTCTTATGAAGAATTATCAATGCAAAAACTTACAAAGATCGTATTTTCATATCCATATTGTAGAAATATTAACCACAGACAATATTTTTATAGCTTCTTGAAAAATATTTTACTTGTTATTTAGTTAGAAGGAAATTAAATCTCAGAATCTTATTTAGAATAAACAAAACCAAGTATCACTTTATAGATTTTGTTGACATTTCAGATCGGCATTGTTTATTTTTAGTCGTTTTTTGCATTTTCCTTACCCTACATTGCCGTAGCATACTTTATTTTACCCTACCCTACCTTACCATACTTTATTTTACCCTGCCCCATCATATGATGCCTTATTTTACCCTACCCTACCTTACCATACTTTATTTTACCCTGCCCCATCATATGATGCCTTATTTTACCCTACCCTACCTTATCATACTTTATTTTATCCAACTCCACCTTATTATGCTTTATTTTACCCTACCCTACCCTGTACAAATGATGATGTAGGTCAATATTACGAGTAAGGGTAGGGCTAGGTTAGAGCAAAGAGGTGTATCATTAGGGTAAGGTAAGATAAGGTAGAGTAGGGCAGAACAGAATAGGGCAAAGTAGAATACGGTAAGGTAAGATAATGTAGAATAAGCCACAAGAAAAGCATTTTCTCATGCCTTACCCTTTAATGATTTATGGCTTACCCAGCCCTAGAGCTATCACGATAAAACCGTTGTGGTAAAAATCATATAATCATAGACGGGCGAGGTATATTAGACTTTAGAAGTCAGAAGTTCAATTTCCTTAAATTTTTTATTAACAGGGAGGACCAAGCTCAACTTTATAAAAATTTTTTTTTCCCACCCCCTCCCCCCTCAAGATTTTTGAAATTAAACCTACTATACCTATCACACCTCCTCCACCTCTCTTCCCCCATTACACCTTCCTCTAAGCTTTCAAAAGTACTACTCTACCTAATTCCTCAACAGCTGCCCCCTTCACCCCGCTCCCCTTCTCCCCCCCCTCTCACCAAAAACAGTAAAAAAGCCTAACCTAACCCACTGCAAATATTAACGTTTATTGTGAATGACTTTCCATAAAAACATAAAGTAAAAGAACAAAGTAAAGATTAATTATGATAACAATCGGCGGTTGATATACATAGGTAATAACATTAAATGGATTGAAAACAAGGTGTGAGTTTACAGAGTAACAAGAAGAAAAAAGACAAATTGACCCATAATAATTGTTGTTTTGATTCCTTGTATTAGACAACTACAGTAATATGTTGATTTAACAAAGACGTGCAAACAATAGTGGTGTTATTGGTAAGATAACATGGACAACATATTGTAGAAGGTTACAGTAAAAAAGCTATGTCATACTGTAAAAACTGACAGCATGCCGTACAGACTTAAAGTAAAAATCAGCGTCATACTGTAAAAAACATACAGCATACTGTAGAAGGTTACAGTAAAACCCTGCGCCATACTGTACAAAACTGACAGTATACTGTAGAAAAACAGTACTAAAATAAAAGGTACTAGACTAAGACCTCACAACATAAAGAAATTACTGTACCTTTCCGTACTGTAACAAGCTACCGTACTCAATAACTTAGTTTTGGACTTGTTGATCAGCCATCGCTCGTCTCGCGGCTTCAATCAGGTAAAACAAGCCGTTCAACGGCTTCGCACAGTGCAAGAACGAATGTCGTAGAAGTTTGGCCGCTGAGTAACGTCTATTCACATCCACTTCCAAGGCAGCGTCGATGAAGTCACGGAACGTAGGCGAGATACGGTCACGGCCTGGGAAGTCGGGACGACCGTTCGTTGCTATCAGGTAAATGGCCTGGAATACGGTAATTGTAAAATACGACATAACTCACAAACAGTGTAGAAAAGGTATAGTAAAAAGAAGGTAAGATCGAGTACAAGATAAAGTAAAGTAAGATAGTGATAGAGGTAAGGGTAGAAAACAAGTTAGAGGTAGCGATAAGAGTAGAAATATGGCTAGGAGTAGAAGTAAGAGTAAAAGTAGGGGTAAGACGGTAGAGTAATGGTAGTAGTAGATAGTACAGTAAATGCAGCGATAAGTGAAAATGTAGCGATAGAAGTAGAGGTAAGAGTAGCGATAGAGATAGGGATAGGAGTTGAGATAGAAGTAGAGGTAGGGGTAATATTAAGAGTAGGGGTAGTGGTAGTAATAAGGGTAAGAGTAGGGTTAAGAGTAAAGCTAGAGGTAGAAATAGGGGTAGGGGTAGGCGTAGGGTTAGGGGTGGTGGTAAGGATATGGAGTAGGAGTAAAAGTAGGAATAGAGGTAGGGGAAGTAGTAGGGGTAGAACTACTAGAAAACATTCCTGCTATACAGTAACCCTCGTAGAAAAAATCCAAAAAATTTTAAAAAAACCTACTCTAAGTGGATTCTCATTCAAATAAGGCGGTTCTCCTTCGACCATTTCGATGGCCATAATTCCCAACGACCAAACATCAACTTTTGGACCATATAACTGACGTGACACGACTTCTGGTGCCTAAACCAAAATTGTCAATAACTTCAACTCAAAAATGTTTAATTATAAAATAAAGCCATAGTCTCTGCTTACAATTAAAAAAGTTGTAATATACAAAATGGACGTTATAACGTATTTTACATGTAAGAATGATTAAATTTAACTCACCATCCAATAAGGCGTTCCAACCAGCGTTGTTCTCTTGTTTTGTTCGGCCGAAATTTGAGCACAAAAACCGAAATCAGCTAAAAAAGAACAAAATCAGTCATTATCAAAAAAAATGGCAAGAAATTTCTTTACAACGCAAGAAATGGCAGCAAGAAATGGCAAAAATTTTCTTTACAACTCGAAAAATAGCAAGAACTTTCTTTACAACGCAAAAACAGCAAGAACTTTCTTTACAAAACAAAAAACGACAGAAACTTTCTTTACAAAACAAAAAATGACAAAAACTTTCTTTACACTCGCAAAAAAATCTCCTTTTTACAAAATCTAACAAAAGATTTAAAAAAAATTGCAATTTGAAAATCGTCTTTAAAACCCACTCAGTTTGACGCTACCATCCATGCCCAGCAGTATGTTGTCACTCTTAATGTCACGATGAATGACTCTTCTTGAATGCAGAAACTCCAAAGCTTGAAGCACTTCCCTTGCCACCGCCGCAATCATGCCCTCCTCCATTTGGCATTCTGTCACGACGTCAGTCAAGGATCCACCAGCCAGATACTCCATCACTACCCATAGATCATCGGCCACAAGGTAACTGTCAAGGTAATTTACAATGTTCGGATGGCGATTCTCTCTCATGACCAGGATCTCATTGATGATCAGCTCCTTCTTGGGCTGTTGACTTAGATTCATTTGTTTTATAGCCACTTCGGCGCCTGTAGCCATGTCCATTGCGGTGAAGACAGATCCGGAAGCGCCGGAGCCAATCTTTTCCAGTTTACGATACTTGTCTTCTGGGTTGCCCAAGGTAACAATGGTCTTCAGACGACGTAGCACTTCGGCGTCGCTGATTTTGCGACGATTTTGACGAGTTGCTGGCGATTTGCCAAAAGCACCGTTCTCGAGAACAGCCACATCGTTCGGCGTTCGATTCTCCTCCTCTTTCGGCTTTGTGTACTAAAAAGGAATGGCATTATTAGGGTGGGTATGATAAAGAATAGCATTATAAAAGTATATATGATGAATCATAGCACTATGAAGGTGGATATGGTAAAGAATAACAGTTTGAGTTAAGGTACGGTAAAAAATGACATTCTGACTTTAAATACGATAAAGAATGTCATTATAAAGATGAAGTAGTACATAAAAATCAAATTTAAAGAAGAAAAACCAACTTACAATTGACAAGGTTTTCATCGGCCGTTCTGGAATCGGCGGTGCTTCCGCATTGTCTTCTGGGATCGGTGGAGGCGCGTAGTTCTAAAATTAGCCGTCAGTAATACATTTAACATATAGCTCACAAAAATATTTGAAAAAATACCAAAATATGTTACCTAAACATTAAAAATTTATAAAAAAATATAATTTTCGGCTAAGAAAATCGTTTATAGAAAGAAAAACCTTAAATTTTATATTATGTTAGACCTAAAAACTTACCGGAGGCTGTGAATCTCGTTTCCTATGTTCGTCAGGTAACGATCGTGCCGATAACGTTGATGGATGTAGGTTGGCAAACTCAGCCGGAGGTTTTGGAGCATTTTGCGAAATAAATCTGTCCAGTTCTTCTTCTCGTGAGCTTCCTAAAATGATTTATGAACTTGTTACCTAAAGATTCAAAATTTTTCAATTTGTTACCTAAATATATAAAAATTACAAAGGTATTTTGTTACCTAAATTCGAAAAACCCGTCAAAAAACTCTTAAAACCCCATTTTTATTAAACAATATAAAAAATTTTTAATTTGTTACCTAAAATACGAAAAACCCTTCAAATTTCCTTTAAAAATTCATTTTTGTTATCTAAAAAGTAACACTTTTCAAGTTGTTACCTAAATTTCAAAAAAGAACTCAAATTTCCTCTAAATCCGTTTTTGTTACCTAAAATTTCAAAAAACTGCCTTTAACCCCCAAAAATCAAATTCCATCTTCAAGTTGTTACCTAAACTTCAAAAAACCCATTTCTAAACCAAAAAACCTACTTTCACTGCTGAGACGATCATTTTTATACAACCTATCATTGCCATTGACTTGATTCAGGGTTTCGCCTTGACTGAACTTTCTCTGTGAGCTGACTAGGTTCTGTGGAGGTTGTTGATACGAATGTTGTTGTTTGAGTTGAGTGAGGTAGGGAAGAGAGCCGGTCGAGTAAGACGAATGTTGAAGGCCAAACGACGATAGTTGTGGATGTTGTTTTAGTTGATGGTTGAATGGCTGATACCCGTGATTCGTGTGGCCGGCCTGGTTGTAGGGTGAGAGTTGTTCTCGGACTAAAAAATAAGGTTTAGGAGGTTCGGAATGACAAGAACTTTCTTTACAAAACTAAAAATGACAAAAAATTTCTTTATAAACCAAAAAATAGCAAGAACTTTCTTTACAAAACTTAAAATTCCAAGCAACAACAACAAAACTCTTACCATCATAGCTCTGCATCCATTTCTGGTTCTTCTGGTCATTGTTAGTGTAATATTTCAGCGCATTCAGCACTGCCTGCGGGTTTTTCTGTTGTTCGGACTTTGAAATTTGTGATTGTTGAAGGAGCATCTCCCAATGCTTTGGCATTCCAGTAAATTCACCTGTTTTCGGGTCATAACCAACATGAACTGTGTGTTGGAAATCAGATGGTAACGAAATGATGGGCTTGTCCGAGACTTTCTCTTTTTCTTTCTTACCTAAATTTAAAAATATTAGTTAGAAAAAAAACCGTATTTTACATTCAAGAAAAACCGTATTTTACATTTTTCTGTATTAACTTTGTCACGTTATAAAGGATTTTTTAAGTAACAGCTCATTATATTACACTAAGCACATCTGATGTCAAGTGTAATATATTTTTTAATATAAAAATACATTCCTCATTTCGTACCATAATAAAATTTAGTCAAAAGCGAGCTGATATTGTATTCTAACTAACAAAACATTATTTTATATGATTAGAACAATATTTTTCAATTTACAGATTATTATATTTCACTAGGTACCTAAAATCTCTAATGTAATATAACTTTGTTCTACTCAAATTTTCTTGATGTTTTTAGTCATGTATTTAATATAAAATCATTTTGTAGTCTCTTTGACATCTATCCAACCATATTTTATGTAGTAACTAAAGTTATTTTATAAGTTATGAGGCTTTATGTTACACAAGGTATACCCGGTTTCGAGAACGATAAGTTAAGGCCAAACATACCCCTTTACAGACCTTTCAAACCCTTTTTGAAACTAAACAGTCTTTGTTCTAAGGGTTTCAGACTTCGTATTTTACCATGACACAAAAAATTAATCCAAAAAAACATTTTTCAGTACCAGCAGTACCACTAAAACCTACTTTTTCCCCCAAAAACAGTCGTCTTCTTTTTGGACTTCCCATTGGTTAGTAGTGGTGCACTCGACGATGCTATCGATTGTTGATCATAATACATTTGTTCTGGGGTTAAGGGCAACGGTTTCAAGTCGTAGCCATTGTTTCTCACACCGTTCACGGAGGACACCGAAGCGTAACGTAGTGGCGCTGGTGGAGGCTTCTCGTCGTAAATATACGACATTTGGTAGGCTTAGTTTGTATCCCCGCGAATGATTGGTATCCTGAAAGTGGTAGAAATAAGATAAAATTAATTTTAGGTAACAACATCAATTTTTAGAAAAATTTTGAACGCAAAAAAATTAAAAGTATTTAAAAACACCACCACAATTTAAAAAATGATAGACTTGTGAGGTCGTATTTTACCCCAAAAGCCACAAAAACGATATAACACATCAAGATACGATCGTACAATGTTTAACCGTGAATGAATCATCCAACAAAAAAGTTTGAAAGATAAAACGTGAATAATCTCTTATTAAAAGAAGCTTTTCAGACCATTGTCATAATGTATTAGAGCAATTACGACCAACATTACTACAATATACAATCAAAACATCAAGTTATGCATGTTATACATGATAAACTAGTGAATTGGGATTTTAAAATTAACTTTTATCAAAAAAATAACTTTTTGATATATTCCAGACATTAATCCAGCTATTCATACGCATTGAAAGATTATTTAGAGGTATTTGTAAAGTTATCGCCAATTATATTGCACTTGACATATCTGACCTCAGGATAATATAATTTATAATAAAAAATACTTCTAAGTACATTACTGTTTTGAAACTAAAAAATAAGCAATATAATAACATAAGCCAACTAATTAATCAATGATTTATCCAATATGAACAATGGTTTTCAAGTTATGGCTCATTATATTACACTAGGTCCAGCCTTTTCCCTGAACCTTAAAAAATCAAATTTCTGACAAAAATAATAAAAACGCCAGTTCGTTATAACAAAATATCTATAAATCCAATAGTTTTCAATACATAAACTTGCATTAAACCCCCTTTTCAAGTATAATATCCGAATTAGAAGCTTTTGCCCGATCGTCCATCATTTTCGCCCCTTTTCCTGTCCATTTGAACAACATTCAATAAAAAGACTTTCCAAGTGGCTCATTTATCAAATTCCTCTTTAAATTTCATACAATCTTAGGGTAAACCATTAGGGTAAGGTAAAATTTTGAAAAAATAAATATTTTTTTTAAAATAATTTTAAAAAAAGTCAAAAACTGTTAAAGCAAAACCAAATTGGCAAAAACTTTCTTTACAAAACAAAAAATGATACGAAATTTCTTTACAAGACAAAAAACACAAGAACTTTCTTTGCAAGCTCTAAAATGGCAAAAACTTTATTTACAAAACAAAAAAAAATGTTTTTGATCGTATAACTTGTCACCCGCAGACTGCAAGGCCGTTAAATAACAAAGTTTTGATTCAAATAGCAAGAACTTTCATTACAAAACAAGAAGTAGCAAGAACTTTCTTTACAAAACAAAAAACCCCAATTTTACATGTATTTCCAATTTTTTTGATATTTGACTTTAAAAATAAAAGTTTTAAAAATTCTGAAATATATGTCAACTACCCTCTAATTTTCCCGCAAAAACATTTTTATAAAACAACCATTAAAAGTGGCAAATTATAAACAACCCAAGTGAAAATACTTTTCTTCAGCCCATTATTGGGTAAAACGCATCTGTTACCACTACTGTTCAATCGAAAAAAGTCCGCAAAGAATCGCGCCCAAAACAAAAGAAAATCGGTTACAAAAGAAGCTTTTGGGCCCAACAAAAATTGGCCATAAAATGAAAAAATATATGGGAAACTACAAAAAATGTTAAAAACTTTCTTTACAAAACACAAAATGGCAAGAATTTTCTTTACAGAACAAAAAATAGCAATAACTTTCCTTAAAAAGCATAAAATGGCAAGAACTTTCTTTACGAAACAATAAATGGCAAGAACTTTCTTTACAGAACAAAAAATAGCAAGAACTTTCTTTACAGAACAAAAAATAGCAAGAAATCGTTAAAAGTAGTCCGACAACCCCTGTTTTCACCATCAGAAACAATAAACAAACATAACTACTATCATGACTAAAAAGTGACATAAAATGAGTCATTATGGCTTTAACCTTTTACAGCGTTCACGTTCAGTTTACGGTTCTTTTGGGTTCAGTTTGGTCAAAACACGATGAATTTAAAAAAGGAGGGGTAAACACAAAGAGGAAAGGAAGGGGGGGGGGGATTTAAAACTTTTTTTTAAAAACTTCATTATTCACCCCCCCCCCTAAAAATTCTAAAATTTTTCTTTATATACCCCTCCCCCCCCTCCCACCCCCTTCATCCAATAATCCAAAAAAATTTACTCTAGCACCCCCAGACCAAGTCCAACCCCACCATTCAGAAGCCGAACCCCTTGTTACCGACAGTAAAAGTTGTGTTCGAAAGGGAAAGACAAATGTTTTGCCCTCTCCACGCCCAAATGTGGGCTAATTATCGATCGGATTCGGTTCCTGACAGAACCAAAAACAAACAATTGTGTAATCGAAACACACTTGTAATCCCAGCCAATTTGTTACACTATCTTATACTGCAATTGGGGGGGGAGAGGGTAGATGCCATAGGTCACGCTTTTTACTAGATTTAGTAAAATGTAGGAGTAGAGGTGAAGGTAGGGGATGGGGTAGAGAATGAGATAGTGCTAGGGGTTGGGGTAGAGTAAGGAATAGGGTAGTGGTAGAGGTATAAGCTTCAAAAACGTATATAAGCCTCTAAATTAAACGTAGGCTTGAAGTGCCTAAAATGTACCACCTCTCCTTTACCCCTACCCGCCTAACCGAAATTCATTAAACCTAAACCCACGCCTTAGTCTAGTCTTAGCCCTGAGCCTCAAAGAAAGAAAATCTACCCCCCCCCCTTCCTACCGCACAGCCGAAATTCGCTAAACCCAAGCCTACGCCTTGGTATTAACAACCCTAAACCTCAAAGAAAGCAAATCTACCCCCTAACCCTTCACCCCTACCCGCCTAACCAAAATTCGCTAAACCTAAGCCTACGCCTTGTCCTACCCTTTTACATTATCAGCTCTAGTCCTCCACTGAGAATTTTTTAAACTTGTCCTCAGGGTTTCCCTCTAGCGTTGAGCTTCTGATTAAGTAGAAAGCCTCTACTTAATCAGAAGCCCAACACCCGTGCCACTCCTACCAAAAACCCATAAATTTTAAAAATTTTTAAATTACCCCATATTTCCCGAAATTAGTCAAAACCACTGAACCACGAGCCATTTAAACTTATCAATAGATATAAATTATAGACAAACCACTACCTTCACCTTCCGTTTGTCAAGCTCTTTTTCGTCCGTTCGCTTCGATCAGTCCCCACTATTTTCGCTTTTATAATAAACACCAAATTAACATTCTACTTTTGCTTTTTTCACATTGTAAACTGTCAAAGATTCGTCATTTCGAATCTGATCAGAAAAAAAACAACGTAAACATAAAAATGATTTTTTAGAAAAGTTTGAGTTTAGGCAATTTATGTTTAAGCCTAGAGCAAAAAAGAAAGAAAGGATACTGTAAAGTATGGTAAGGTAAGGTAAAGTAAGGCTCGGCTAAGGCAATCTAAGCCTTAACAAAGTATGCATACATAAACTTTAGTAGGGCTAGTTTAGAGATAGAGTAAGACCAACGCTAAGGTAGATCAAAGAAAAATATAGACTCAGGTACTGCTGATAAACCTAAGACTAGCAACAGTAGTGACAGAAGTAAGAAGAGTAGAGGTAAGGTTAGATTTGGAGCTAGGAGATAAAGGTAGGAATAGAGATAAGGATAGGGTTAAGTAAAGGTAGGGGTGTGAGTAGAGGTAAGGTAAGAAGTAGAGGTATGGGTAGACATAAAGGACGGGCCAAGTCGGCACAGGCTACCATAAAGCCGGGCCGGGTCTAAACAAAATTTGTATCAGGCCGAGCCTAACACCCAAGCCCGCCCCGTTCGCCATTGCTAGGTAGGATTAGAGGTAGGATTAGAGGTAGGAGCAGGGGTAGGGGTAGGGGTAGGGGTAGGGGTAAAGGTAGGGGTAGGAGTGGAGTAGGCTAGAGCTAGCTTAAAAAGGCTTGATTAGGTTAAAAATCCCATTTTAACCCCCACTCCAACCGATCAAAACCCCCTAAAATGTTTTTGCTCGAATCAACCAAAAGATTTCTTGTCAATTCGAGCCCGTTTCTCCATCGAACTTTGATGGCATTCGAAAGTGGAAAGAGAGAAAGAAAATTCAAAGACAAAGGCTCAATCTCGATCACTTCCATTCCCCGGGATTCTCGCTCGAGGCGAAGAAAAATACATTCGAATGGGCAGGGGGAGAAATCGCTCCACCCGACGTCGTATCACGTTATTTTTGGGTCTTTTAACAGCATATTAAGTCTATAACGCTGGAAAAACATTCGGAAGTCAGGAGAAAACCCTCTAAATTTATATTTTATGGCTAAAATAGAGTATATTAAAATTAACCCGCCCAATATTTTTTTGAAAAACGCTACCAAACGTTCCCAAAATCAAAAATCATCCCGTCTCCAAAAAATTTTTTACCCCGCCCAAAAATATTGCCATATCCAAGAAAAAAATCAGAAATTAGTTACATCCCTATCACTCATATCTATTATAATATCACCCGGAATACCACAACAAATCCCACTTGAGGACAGCCTTCCTCTCTCGGACACTCTTTGTTTACCGTTCCTTCAGCAAAAACCGATAATCTGATTAAGAAATTCTAAAGTAAACAACCTGTTCATAGCTGATTTGATATGCAAAATCTTGTGCCTGCCTTATACTATCCTTTCTTACCATACCGTGCTTTACACTAACATATTCTAACCTGCTCTAAAGTACCTTAGTTTAAACTACCCTGCCCTGCGCTGTCCTGCCTTGACTTATCATACCTTACTCTATCTTACCCTACTCTAACCTATCTTGCTTAGCTTACCCCACCTAAAATAAACAAGGTATTACTTAAACTAATTCAATTCAGATTTCCAGACAATTTTCAAAGAGATTTTACCGCTTTTTACCTCAATTTTCACCCCGAATTCATCAATTAGCAACACTCGAAACGCGTAATTTACGTCTTATTTTTTAAGAATCTATGTTTCAAAAAAAATTTTTTAAATT